AATAATAAAAATAATGATGTTTTTAGGACCAATCAGTCGCTGTCCTTCCTGATAATGTCGCAGGGAATTTCTCTGACTTTTGGTAACTCTCAGATACAGGAGAGATAAGTTGATAGAACTCAATCAGAATCTCTGTGACCCAAATATATGAAAGTACTTGTTGAAAAGCAAGGATTTGTTGCCTGAAATTTGAGAAGACCCTAGAGATGGTCCCTCTCTTCTTGTTTTGCAAATATACCAATGATTACATCCAGAAAATGTACAGTAACTCAGAGGAGGGAAACGCAGGGCTCCTGTTTTCCTGGTGCACTCTCCCTTTTACACAAGTCTGCCTCTTCCTCACTTCTGAGACTTCAATCTCCCTGGAAGTTTCCTTCTAAATGCAGTAAACATAACACATCTGGATATGCCAACTCAGCACGTATGCTGGAGAAACATACACTTGGTACAGCCTAAATAAACTAAAGCCCAGAAGCTGCTGTCTGATGTTCTCAGGGACAGATGTCAGTGGCAGGCCTGGGCTGGCCTTCAGTGTGCAGGCTGCCAGGGGCGGTCTAGGCAGCTTCTGCCAGTTCTCAGAGACTCACCAGGACTGTTCACTGTCTCACACTTGTTTCTTTTCAGGTTTTACAAGACTCATACGGTGTCTTTCGTTTCAGTGCCTATTACTCATTTCAATGATTCAGCCGACCCAGACAGGAGGAAAGCAAATGGACATGAGGTGTGTGGAGGAATCTACTGAAAATGGGATTGATTGGGTGTTAAGAAAGTAGGACTTAAAGTTGGATGAGGCAGCATTCTGAGGATCTTAAGTTCCCAAGGCATAATGTTCAACATTTATTGTCAAACCCAATTTCTGACTAAGCCATTTATGCTTTCTGAATAACCACTTTAATTTTTATTCACATCTACTCACCTTTTAAAAAATGGAAGTATGCACCAATTTTTAAAGAAATAGGACCAACCTTGGAAACTTATAATTATGAATCTTTATATTTTTATGATAGTTGATAGTTTACAAAGCTGATTTCACTTGATCTTCACAAAAGCCCTATGGGGTGATATTTTTATTACCCACATTTTACAGATAAGGAATTAAATCTCACAAAGGTTTGAAGACTTCCCCAAAAGCGTCATAGGGCAACTAAAACTAGTTAACCCCAAGGCCCTGTACCAGAATGATCACCTGCCTTTCCCCCACCAACCCACACTCACTAGGCACAGCGTCCAAGAGGCTCTGCCTCTTTCTCAATACCATCTTTGGGTTGCCTCATCCTACCTGCAGTGCTTACCTTCAAAGCAGATGCTGACAATGCGTTTGGATTTTGGAGGCTTGATTATGAAATAAAATTGAATAAATAGTGCTGGACACATGCTGAGTTTCAGTTTTCTGACCCTCCTCTTTTGAGACTCCAGGTCCAACCCTCACCTGTACCTTCAGATTCATGGACACCACTGATGAGGTTCTGGCTTGTTTCATTTTCATTCATGACTTTGACTCCCAGACCGTACTTTGATCCTGGTTCTTACAGCGTTGTTCTAGAGACATCCTGACCTCTAAGGCACCATCAAACCAATTTTGTCCAAGTAGTGTAAATATCATTGCCCACCACAGATCTGGCAACAACAATTTAACATTTGCTGAGCACTTACCATGTGCCAAGCACAGTAAGTGATGAATGCTTTATGTTCATTAACTCATTTAATGCTCATAGCAACCCTCTGAGGTAGGTACTCATAATTGTATAGATGAGAAAGCCGAGGTGAGTAACTTGCCGAAGATCACACAATAAGTGGGGAAGCCAGGATTTGTGCCTACATCATTTTGACTCTGCAGTGTGGGCTCTTAGCCACAAGGAAGTACTGACCTCCGGAAGTCATCTTACATCCACCTCCTCACCATGGATAATTGAGGATGACAAGTGGTTATGAGCACTTTCTTTGTTGAAATTTAAGCTTAAAAATTGACTTGGAGGGTAGTGTTGTTAGACATCAATCCATGACCTGGGGGGAAATACCTACAGAGAGAGACAATGGGAAGACTGAGAACCCATTAATGAAAGGCAAGCAGTCCACACTACATTGCTGGTAGTGTAACATTTGAAAAAACACATATTTTGTGGTGAGCTTGGGCAAGATGCTGCCCACCCTGGGAAGGCAGCCAAGAATTACTGCCACCTCCACCCCAGAGGATCACCCTACTAAAGGCCACAGAGAGGACCAGCCCCCATCAGAGACTGCTTGTAATTTCTCTCACTGTGGGAGTTTCCAAATGAATAAACAAACAAATAAAAGTGGTTCTATAATTTTCTCTGTGATTCAGATTCAGTGAAGCAGTAAGTCTTTGGTGCTTAATTATGAAAGATACCAAAAACACTTATTGTCCCAAATACTTTGCAGAGCAATAACACTGAAAAATAGTTCTAAGGCCTGTTTCACTGATCTGGACTTCTCTCTGTTTTCTCATGTATGATGCAAACATTTAAAGAAATGAACAAAAGTCAGATATGACTGGAAGCTGAATTAATGTGGATCAAGAAGAAAATGGCAAAAATTCACAGTCCCCAAGCCTCATTTCAACCATTAGGATTCTCCCCTTTTAGATATTTTACAGAACTGCTAAAAAGTTGTCAATAATTACTTTATTGAGCATCTGCAAGGTGCACAGCATTGTACATAGCTTGAAAATGTCAAATTGAGTTTTGTCACACCCTCTATAAAGGCTTCCCTAATTTCCATGGTTTTGTGGTTTCTCTTCCTCTGTTCCAAGGAACATGCTATTAGTACCTTTACTGCAGCACTTACTTGTTACAAGTACAACTGTATTATGTGTTCTCTCCACTAGGCTTTGAACTCCTCAAAGATGGAATCCATGCATTGTTGATCTCTGCAACCTTGATGTCCAAATACGTGTTTGACAGATGAACACATGACTGAATAAATGCAGGGTGCTGCACTTTGGTTCCTTCTCCCAACTCCCTAGTCTGCATTTACATGGAAATGGTTGATGCTGAGTGAGAAGCCAACATTCAAAAGGCACAATGAAAAAGAGAAGTGTCCAAAGGCATAGCTGATCCACAGACTAGAAAATCAGCTCCATAATGAGGAAGAGGCTGATCCCAAGGCCTCAGAACATAACAGAGCCACAGCAAGATCTTTAAGCCAGAGCTGGGGTTCGTCAACCCCAGCCCCTACCTGAAAGCCCAGCGTAGCTCATTAGGAACAGGGCAGCAGTCCAGCCACCTGCTGTGGCTTCAGGTCCAATGCAGATGGTTCCAGAGACCCATGGGCACAGCCACACTAGTAGCTCAGGGCAGTGGGTCTCAGCCACCTAACCTTACTGATACTTTTTGCTTTATTGTCCCTTTTTAGATTTCAAAACAGGTCATGCAAGAATAAATAGACACTAAACAATTGGATGTGAAAAAGAAGACATTCCCAAATGGTTCTCAAGAAGCCGTTTGGATGCTGTGCTCCTTACATGGTGCTAAGGGGCTCAAGCTGCCACGGATGCCCTTTTCGGGCCTTTCAGTATGCAAATATGTGCTAGGAGGGAATTAAGTTTCCCTGGGATGCAGTAAGCATAATGTTGTACGTGGACGGCTAATTGTTTTCATCACACAAGCCAAATCCAACTGATTAGTCAGGGCCTGGAGTCTGTTTGATGGATGAGGAAATCTTGCCATGGTCCAGGGAGGCAGCTGAATAAAAGCACGAACTTCCCATGTCTGACACCCCAGGTGTGATGGGACATGTGCAAACAACGTTGGCTCCTAATCTGCTCTCAGTTAGCCATGAAACTAAGGGGCCTTAGGTTCCTTATCAAATAATAGTTTGGCTGGACTGTCCCTCTGGTCACTTCTAAAATTCCTTTTCTTTATCCAGCAGGATTCTTGACCAATCAGTATCAAGTCAAACCCTCACCCTTTACCTTCACACTGCTGAAATAAAGGGACATCCAAACTTTATGCTCCCTAAGACAAGTGTTGGTAAAATACTGCTTTAAGTTTCTTAGATAAGCCTGGTGCATATCTCCCTAGCATGGACTCATGTGGTGCCCATACTCCCTAACCTTGCACCACAAATCGATCAGGATGGCAGCTTGCTGGCTGCTGTTCTACTCTGGGTGTGACTCTGCTATTTTTCTGCAAAATGTAACTCTTGCTAAGCTCATGTTTCTCATTCATCGACCCCATGCAAATGGCTGACATGTTCTCTCCTTGTTGGGACCCCGAACTTTTGCATATAACTTTCTGATTGATCCTGGGCTGTAGCTCTAAGATCAGTATTTCATACTTGGCTGTTTCCTACCTCTCAGCAATTCTTTAAAACATTCAGAAAAATCCAGATGATTCCACCCCGATTGTGGGAAGCAAAGTTTGGTCCCTCTTGTTACATTTTTTAGTGCAAGATTTAAAATGACAAGTGCTTGATCAAAAAAATTTTGAGAATGAGCTCTCACATTTCACTTGTATTAATGGGGGAGTTATGTTTGTAGCCTCAAACACACTATAAAAATAATTTCCTAAGATATAATTATTCTTAAATATTTTATATATTTTTTTCAGAGATGGCCAGAATAATTTTTATCTTTATTTTGTGGCTCTTTTCTATATAGTTGTACCAAAACAACCATTTAGGGACATAAGTCAGAGTATTTTTACTGTACTAGGTACTTACTCAATGCATTAGAAAAATCTAGTATGTTGCAGAATATGAATTTTCATGTTAGCTTAACATATGGATCTTTCAGTTCAACCTTGTCAGGCAGGGAGACACGTCAAGTTAATCCAAGCTGGGCAAAAGATGTCCTTGGATCTGCAGCACCTACTAAGAGGAGGGCTGTCCACCTTCTCTTCTCTTCTTTTCACCTGAGAGGACTGTATTATACTATTCAAGGTGCAAAAAAAAAAAAAAAAAAAAAAAAAACCCTTTGCCCTTCAATTCAAACTCTGTTACGCCACATTTGGCATAAAATGCTTACCATTACCTAAAAATGATTTTTTTTAAAGTGCTTATAATCACCTAAAAGAAAAATGTAGCAAAATTCAACTTTGGAGAAAATGAAAACTGTACATATCCTTGAGAGCCAAGAAAAGCTAAGAGATACAGAAAATTCTACATCCCCACAAGGTCATTTCAACAGAGAGGCATTATCTGCATTCCACCAAGGTCAGTTAAATTGGGGAGAAAGATAAGCAAATGCTGAGAAATTGGCTGCAGAATTTTTTTTTATCTGTTTTGCCTTAAATCACAAAAAGCAATGGGAAGAACAAGCTCCCTTTGTCCTTTTCTCAGACACTTTTGGTTTAAAGTTGTTCTTTTTCTAATTCTTCCCTCTCCTGTAATTTTTAATCATCAGAAATAAATACCAGTGCGTTTCAGGTGGTCATCTATGTCAGAGTGCATAACTGAAGTTATTAGTGGCTTGGGAGTTTGCACACATAACTGGAGGTAAACAGCAGATTACTACACCTAATCTCACCCTGAGCATTTCTCCTCTGTCAAGTCTAAATTCTGCCATCTTCTTTTGCAAAAACAAGCAGACATCCCCACCAAAGGCCAAAATATAATGATAACTGACAGTGAACAGAAACCCATTGTAAAGACAAAATATTCCAGCTTTCAAATTCACGGTGACTGGATACTATTAGTTTTTTGAGTTTATAACTCCCCAGAATTGTCAAAAGTAACCTTGTAGCCAATCCGCTTGCAGACACTAAAAACAACCTGAAATAGGCCACCCAGGGTACCAAAAGCAGTGTCAAAGAGCAGTGAGACAGTGCCACCAAGGCCCAGTGCAATGTCCTTGCATACAATTGGAATAGCGCCCATGGTATACACAGGGAAAGTGGCCACATCCACAAGGACACGGATAGGGATGCTCAGAACTCGGCAAACGGCCTTCAGCAGACAACAAAGGATCCGGAGAATAGCCCTGATGACTTTGGCCACAACCTTCAGCACCTTCCAGGGAATGCTCACCAACTCTTCCCCAATGGCCACGAAGTATGAGATGGTGGCTGACCCCAGGCGGTAAAGACAACTTTCTATGCCATTAATCACCTGCTTGGTAACACACCACAGGAGATAGACAATGTTCTTCAGGATTGCTACCACAAGGTAATAAATTAATTGAAAAAGCTTGATGAATGGGGTAGCAATGAAGCCCATGAGTTTTCCCAAAAAGCTACTACTTCCCTCAGATGCCTCTGGAGGCAACGGAGCAGACCTCTTGCTCCTGGTGCTAGAGGGGGGACTAGAAGTCTTTTGAGATTGCACCATTCGTTCTTCATCCTGGACTTGGTTAACCACTTCCAGGATTTTTTTCATTTTCTCTGTGTCTTGCTCAGTCTCACCACAGTTGTTCTGAAACAGCTGAGGGTTAAATGGAAGCAGTTTCTGAAGATCTTTTACCATCACATCTTCTATGATGTCACTGTCCCGGGTGTGCTTGACAAAGCCCATGGCCCAGCCACCTCCAGGGACAGCACAACAGGCCGCCAGCCAAACAAACTCAGGGACTGCCACTTTGTCTTTAACTCTGTAGTCTGAGGGCACTGTGCCTGTGAGGATATATAGGTCTTCCCCACTGCCACACTGTGGGGTCAAAGCCCGGTCCATTAGGCTGTGGAGATTCACGTACCACCGTTCCTGGAAGGACTGAGTCATTGGGGCTGAATTTGTGAGAGTAAATGTGGCCACCTGGAGATCACTGCTAAGGGAGAACGGGTATAGCTGTCCTCTTTGGTAATCAGAATCAAGGTAATCTGTATTCAAGGCTTGCTTGCTTCCCAGGCTGTTCACAGAGGTGATGGCCTCTGCCTCATTAATCGCCTCCTCAAGATTGCTGTTGGGGTCATCGATCTGAAAGAAGAAAACAAGTGGTGAGATGTATCCCTGCTTACAGCACAGAGGCAGCACTAGAATCATCCTGCCCAGACTCTGGAGAAGTCCCCACTGGTCTATTACTTCAAATGCTTGAGTTTGGAAGGACTTGGTTCTCTGGCACATGCACACTTCATTCTAATATATCAAAATCCTGGTGTTTCAAAGCATCTTTCAGATAGGCTGTTTCCTAGTCTATTACCTGTGTTTACCCCCCCCCCTGCTCTACAGTAACACCCCTTCACTCACACACACACCCACCATCGTAATGTTCTTTTTAAAATCTGTTGTAGTCTGGGGCCAGGTGCGGTGGCTTATGCTTGTAATCCTAGCACTTCAGGAGGCTGAAGCAGGTGGATCACCTGAGGTCAGGAGTTTGAGACAAGCCTGGCCAACATGGTGAAACCCCATCCCTACTAAAAATACAAAAATTAGCTGGATGTGGTGATGGGTGCCTGTAATCCCAGCTACTCAGGAGGCTGAGGCAGGAGAATCACTTGAACCAGGGAGGCAGAGGTTGCAGTGAGCCGAGATTGCACTATTTTAACTCCAGCCTGGGCAACAGAGCAAGCCTCTGTCTCAAAACAAACAAACAAAAAATATTGTAGTTTCATGAACTTCATAATTCTCTTTTGGAATACTTTTCCATGAACTTCAAAGTAATTATAAAAAAAAAAAAAACAAGGGGGGAGTAGATCTCAACAGGCCAATAAAGTTAGAACTGCAACTCAGTTAATCAGCCACCAATGTTGGTTGCAATTGAAGGCACATGTTCCTAATGAATGTTTATACATTTTCGGATTTATGAAAAACAATCAACTCTATTCAGCGCATTTAAATTACATGGGGGAAATGTACAGTCTGGTGTTGTTTACTGGATATTTATCAGGTAAAACTAAAATTCAAATTAGACCAGTTGCTGCTTGAACTTAAACTCCCCAATATTTGCTATGATTAACAATTCATTTTCTGTCTTGGTCAATCTAGACATGTGCTATATATCAATTGCAATCAATATATACATCCTTTCTTGGTTCTGCTTTCTTTTACAAAAAATTCAATATTATTTATGATTATTTTGATCTTATCTGAAAGGACAAAAGGAAAGTGCTTAGGATTAATTTAGGATTATGTCATTATCCCCCAAACTAACTTGTAAATTCTTGACATCAGGAACCATGTATATTCCCCCAGAACCCAGCCCAAGGCCTGACGCATAATAGAATCTCAAGGCATTCTTGTTAATCTTTATGCCCTGAGGCGGCAGTATTTATAATAGCAAGTGGAACCATCCCACATTTTCAAAAACAGGGAAAAGTTTCGTAAATAACATTATGTTATATCCATCAAAGAAAAAACTTATTAAAAACCATTATGGCCAGGCATGGTGGTTCAAGCCTGTAACCCCAGCACTTTGAGAGGCCTAGGCAGATGGATCACCTAAACTCGGGCATTTGAGACCAACCTGGGCAACATGGCGAAACCCCACTTCTATAAAAAAAAAAAAATTCAAAAAATTAGCTGGGCATGGTGGTACACACCTGTGGTCCCAGCTACTCAGGAGGCTGAGGTGGCAGAATCACTTGAGCCTGGGAAGTAGAGGATGCAGTGAGCAGAGACTGCACAACTGCACTCCAAGCTGAGTAAGGGAGTGACACCCCCATCTCAAAAACAATCATTAAAAAGCACTTACAATTATAAAGCGGTTCGTAATGATGAGAAAATATATGCTATAACGTTGAAAAGAAAGGGCAGGATATAAAATTAAATAATCACTTTTTAAAAGCCTTCAAGTATGTAAGGAAACATTTTGAAAATAAACATACGACATGTCAACATGGTCGTTTGATTCCTGGGGATGCAAGTCATATTTTTTCCTCTATTTTCTTGTTTCTCTCCTCGTACCTCCCTACCCACATCAACCCATAATATGTGTTACTTTCAAAAGGAAATACAAAAATACAAACCTAATTAAAATGAGTAAATTATTGGTAACTGATTCTCTAAAATTGGTGCTACTCACTAAACATAAAATAAACCCCGAGGGGAGTCAAAGCCATAGGAATTGTGTTGTACCTCTAGTCTGAGGGCAGTCCAACTGTGCATCTCTCTGGCTCTGCAATGGCAAATGAAGACACTCTCTTGCGGGTATGCGTAGGGGTATTGAGGGCAATGGATAAACAACTTGGTATATTTGCTGAAACCTAATGGAGTAATCTATCGGCTGACCCTACTCATTCAACTCCATGCCTTCCCCCATTCTTAGAAGGAGCAATGATCCTGGGTGCTCTTCACTGCTACCACATCCCTTGTAGGATAGAGATAAGAAGCTCATTCACTTGGTTAAGCTGCTGTCTCTGCTCTCTTATATCTGAAAGATACATCCCAAGGAAACATCAGCCTCATTTTTTAATCATAAGACCAGGATATAGCAGAGCCAAGATCTACGAAGACTTGGGTGTAAGGTCGGGGTTGATGCACATTTCTCCATGGTTACTGGGGCATTTTGTACGCATTTAACCTGGTGCAGTGCCTTCATTCCTTCTAGGGAAACTAAAGATTGTTTTTGAATTGATAACCCTGTGGCAGAGCATTGTGGGAGCATGCTGGAGTGTCTTTAGCCCAAGAGCCACCCAAGGGTGAAACGTGCCTACAGGGGTTGATGAAGGCCTAAAAAATGAGCAGAGAAGAGGGACTTGGATGAGGAAGGGGAGGAGGCAAAAGAAAGAGGCAGAAGGAGAACAGGAGAGGATAAAAAAGGGAAGCAAATAAGAGAGAAGTAAATGAGAGAGAATGTGCCTGCATGTGTGAGAGAGAATGTGCCTGCATGCGTAAGAGACAAAGTGTCCCGTTGCTAAGCAAAAACCAGGACTTACAATGGACTTATAAAAGACTGTGGGGGTTGATTCACTCCCCAACTGCTATGCATGGTCTTCCAGTGCTGCGATCAGAGGAGACTAAGCTGGGTGTTTCAGCATCCTCTTAGATCACTTGAGTTCACGGGGCTTCAGATTTCAGCCACAGCTTTGCACCTGACAACCAGGTAAGGCCTTTTCTGCCCAACTCCACAGGGAAATTTCCCATACACTTACATGGGAAATAAGCCAGGATGGAACCAAGGTGGCTGGGAAGGCCATGGCCCAATTCTATACTGGGTCCTGTGCACCCTACTGCCCTAGGCCTTCCAAGGCAAAGTAACTAAAACATATGCTCCAGAAATACAGGCAGCTTTGGGCACATCTTCCCTCCCCTTCCCCTGCTTTCTTCAGAACTTCATATTCATGTTTACTATATTCTTATGAACTCCAAACCTGGTTCTATGGTTTGATGACAAGATAGAACATAGTGTTTAAAACTGAGACAGAATATCTGGCTACTACTATACCTATATAGTGATGGGGAGATCGATTGGAGACTAATATTTTTTGAACTACCAATTTAGTGCTTTCAATATAGCATTATATGGAAGCATTTTTACTTTATTTTACAGATAGGGAAACCAAGACACAGAATGATGAAGAAAATTTTCCAGTATTCCAATAATTAGTACCAGGAATGGAGCTTTTTCCATTTCAATGATTTCTTTTCTAGCATTTCTATTGTTTTATTTCAAATTCTCCTTTTTTTTTTTTTTTCTCTTGGGAGATCCTTTTTTATCTTTTAATAGTTTAGACATTGATTTTTAAAGTTCCTTTAAGATTTCTCTATTTGGTTTTTCAGTTTATTTTGTTGCTTCTACTGGTTGACTTCAAGGAGTGTGTATAGCTAAGTACTTCGCAATTTCTGCTGATGAGTTTATCTCATGAGAGGTCCATGGTATTTTGTCAAAAAAAAACCCAAAACAACCAAAACCCAATAGGATTGCTTTCGAAGTTGCCCCTGCCAGGCCCCTACAGAATTCTATGAATTGGGGCCAGCTTCTGAGTTATTTTCTCAGTTCAGGGTTTTCACATGGAGAAAGCAGAGCAAATATGGAACCACCATGCCCAGTCAGAAAAATGATACATTTTATCTAATATTCTATGTGTTTGCGGTGTGAGGAAAGGAATTCCACATCTGTTCAGTTGACCAGATGTTTTCTCCATTGTCTCAGGTTTAAAACGTTTATCCTAAAGCAAGCCTTATTTCCTTTTATAACTCATTATAGATTTATCATCCCAACATGTATCTGCTTTGCTTAAATTTATTATTTTTTTTTTATTTATACCACCTCCTGAATCAATGTTTGGTATGAGTAGGACAGTATTTTTCAACACTTTTACTGATGGTAACAAGAACTATATAGGCTGAAGCCTCTCTCTAACAATAGGCTACAGGGACTCTCAGCCTTTCCTAAATCACATTGGCCACTTTGTAAACAATCTGATTCTGTTTCCTTACTAATTCCTTTGTATTAACTATTACCCACGGCTCTTTTGTCTGTTCATGCAAGTATTTCTATCTCCCTGAAATTCATTTCCATCAATTTTATCTTTTGCAACTTGGAATTCTCAAAAAACCTGGACATTACATTATGAAGTCACTTTAACATATCATTTATAAAAACATATTAAATCCTAGGACCTTTTATTTTTATTTTTATTTTTATTTGAGACGGAGTCTTGCTCTATCACTCAGGCTGGAGTGCAGTGGCCTGATATTGACTCACTGCAACCTCCGCCTCCCAGGTTCAAGCAATTCTCCTTCCTCAGCCTCCGGAGTAGCTGGGATTACAGGCATGTGCCACCACACCTAGCTAATTTTTGTATTTTTAGTAGAGATGGGGTTTCACCATGTTGGCCAGGCTGGTCTCGAACTCCTGACCTCAAGTGGTCTGCCCACCTCGGCCTCCCAAAGTGCTGGGATTACAGGCGTGAGCCACAGCGCCCTGCCCCTAGGACCATTTAATACCATGCTAACTGATTTCCACTGAGGAAAACGCCCATGAGCCCACTATGCTATCTCCTTATTTAAGACCAGCTTTTTAACCAATGACAAAC